CATCTTCATCATCTTCACCATCTTCATCATCCTCTTCATCTTCATCATCTTCACCATCTTCATCGTCTTCATCATCTTCATCATCCTCTTCATCTTCATCTTCATCATCTTCACCATCTTCATCGTCTCCATCATCTTCATCATACTCATCTTCATCATCATCCTCCTCATCTTCATCATATTCATCATCCTCAGCTTCATCTTCATCATCTTCACCATCTTCATCATCTTCCTCATCTTCACCATCCTCCTCATCTTCCTCATCTTCATCATCTTCATAATGCTCCTCATCCTCCTCATCGTCCTGCTGCTTCTCATCCTCCTCATCTTCCTCATCTTCATCATCTTCATCATCCTCATCATCCTCCTCACCTTCCTCATCCTCCTGTGGCTCCTCATCCTCCTCATCCTCCCACATCTCCACGTTCTTCCACATCTCTTCATCCTCCTCATCTTCCAGCAGTTCCTCATCTTCCTCATGCTCCTTCATCTTCCTCATCCTCCTGCTGCCTCTCATGGTTCCTCATCATCCTCTTCCTCCTCATCCTCCTGCTGCTTCTCATCTTCCTCATCCTCTGCAGCTCCTCATCCTGCTCATCCTCCTGTGCTTCCTCACCTTCCTTATCCTCTGCAGCTCCTCATCTTCCTCATCCTCCTCATTCTCATCCTCTTCATCATCATCCTCATCCTCCTCCTCTTCCTCAACTCCTCATCCTCCTCATCCTCCTGTGGCTCCTCATCATCTACCTCATCCTCTGCAGCTCCTCATCCTCCTGCTGCCTCTCATCTTCCTCATCATCATCATCCTCCTGCTGCTTCTCATCTTCCTCATCCTCTGCAGCTCCTCATCCTCCTCATCCTCCTCTACTCCTCATCCTGCTTATCCTCCTCATCTTCTTCGCCTTCCTCATCCTCTGCAGCTCCTCATCTTCATCATCTTCCTCATCCTCCTCATCTTCCTCTACTCCTCATCCTCCTCACCCTCCTGCTGCCTCTCATCTTCCTCATCCTCTGCAGCTCCTCATCCTCCTCATCCTCCTCTACTCCTCATACTGCTCATCCTCCTCATCTTCCTCACCTTCCTCATTCTCTGCAGCTCCTCATCTTCCTCATCCTCATTCTCCTTATCCTCATCCTCATCCTCATCTTCATCATGTTCCTCATCCTCCTCCTCTTCCTCAACTCCTCATCCTCCTCATCCTCCTGTGGCTCCTCATCATCCACCTCATCCTCCTGCTGCTCCTCATCCTCCTGCTGCCTCTCATCTTCCTCATCATCATCATCCTCCTGCTGCTTCTCATCTTCCTCATCCTCTGCAGCTCCTCATCCTCCTCATCCTCCTCATCTTCCTCATCATCATCTTCCTCATCCTCCTCATCTTCCTCAACTCCTCATCCTCCTCATCCTCCTGCTGCTTCTCATCCTCCTGTGGCTCCTCACCCTCCTCCTCCTCATCCTCAGGGATGAAGATGGGAACTGCCCGCCCCCATCTCCCCACCCCGGGGTCCCCCCTCGCCCTCAGCTCCCGCCGGATCCCTCCTTCCTTCCCGGGATGGGGAATTCCCGCTGACATTCCCGGGATCGGGAATTCCCGCTGACATTCCCGGGATGAGGAATTCCCGCTGACATTCCCGGGATGGGGAATTCCCGCTGACATTCCTGGGATGGGGAATTCCCGCTGACATTCCCGGGGAATTCCCGCTGACATTCCCGGGATGGGGAATTCCCGCTGACATTCCCGGGATGGGGAATTCCCACTGACATTCCCGGGATGGGGAATTCCCGCTGACATTCCCGGGATGGGGAATTCCCGCTGACATTCCCGGGATTGGGGAATTCCCGCTGACATTCCCGGGATGGGGAATTCCCGCTGACATTCCCGGGATTGGGGAATTCCCACTGACATTCCTGGGATTGGGGAATTCCCGCTGACATTCCCGGGGAATTCCCGCTGACATTCCCGGGATTGGGGAATTCCCGCTGACATTCCCGGGATTCTGTGCTCCGCAGGAAGGAGGTGGGGCTGGACCTGTTCTTCCCCAGCCAGATGCAGGAGAACCTGAAGGTGAGAGGGACACGGGGGGGGACACCTGGGGACACTTGGGGACACCTTGGGGACACTTGGGGACATCTGGGGACACTTGGGTACACCTTGGGGACACTTGGGGATATCTGGGGACAACTGGGGACACACCTGGGGACACCTGGGGGACACCTGGGGACGTCCGGGGACATCTGGGGATACCTTGGGGACACCTGGTGAGATCTGGGGACACATGGGGGACACCTGGGGACACTTGAGGACACCTTGGGGACATCTGGGGACATCTGGGGACATCTGGGGACACACCTGGGGACACCTGGGGAGATCTGGAGACACCTGGGGAGACCTGGGGGACACTTGGGGACACTTGGGGACATCTGGGCACACACTGCGGACACATCTGGGGAGACCTGGGGGACAACTGGGGACACTTGGGGACATCTGGGGACACACTGCGGACAACTGGGGACACCTTGGGGGACATCTGGGGACACACCTGGGGACATGAGAGAGCATGGCCGGGTGTGTCCATGTCCGTGTGTCCGTGTGTGTCCCTTTCCCCATCTCCCATGTCCGTGTGTCCATCTCATTCCCGCTGTTCCCTCTGTCCCTGTCACTCTCCCATCCCGTTGTTCCTGTTCCCGAATCCATCCCGGATCCGGCTGTTCCCGCTGTTCCCGGTGCCTGATTCCATCCCTGCTCCCGGTGCTGTTCCCGGTGGCATTCCTGTTGTTCCTGGCGCTGTTCCCGGTGTTCCGGGTGCTGTTCCCGCTGTTCCTGGAGGCATTCCCGGTGCTGTTCCCGCTGTTCCCGGCACTATTCCCAGTGCTGTTCCCAGCGTTGTTCCTGGCGCTGTTCCTGCTGTTCCTGGCATCATTCCCGGCGCCATTCCTGACACTGTTCCCAGTGCTGTTCCCAGTGTTCCTGCTGCCTGATTCCATCCATGTTCCCGGTGCTGTTCCCAGTGTTCCTGCTGCCTGATTCCATCCATGTTCCCGGTGCTGTTCCCGGTCCTGTTCCTGGTGCTCTTCCCGGTGCTGTTCCTGGTGCTCTTCCCGGTGCTGTTCCCGGTGCTGTTCCCGGTGCTGTTCCCGGTGCTGTTCCCGGTGCCATTCCTGCTGTTCCCAGTCCTGTTCCCATTGCAAATCCCGCTGCTGTTCCCGGTGCTGTTCCCAGTCCTGTTCCTGGTGCTCTTCCCGGTCCTGTTCCCAGTCCTGTTCCCGGTCCTGTTCCTGTTGCAAATCCCGGTGCTGTTCCCGGTGCTGTTCCCGGTGCTGTTCCCGGTGCTGTTCCCGTTGCTAATCCCGGTGCTGTTCCCGGTGCTGTTCCCAGTCCTGTTCCCGGTGCTGTTCCCGGTGCCATTCCTGCTGTTCCCAGTGCTGTTCCCGGTGCTGTTCCCGGTGCTGTTCCCGGCTCTGTTTCTGGTGGTATTCCAGGTGCTGTTCCCGGTGCTATTCCTGGCTCTGTTCCCGATGCCATTCCCGCTGTTCCCGTTGCTATTCCCAGTGCCATTCCCGGTGTTGTTATTCCCAGTGTTCCCAGCTGTGTTCCCGGCACTATTCCCATTGCCATTCCCATTGTTGTTATTCCCGGCGTTGTTCTCGGCGCCATTCCCGTTGTTGTTTGTATTCCCAGTGTTGTTATTCCCGCTGTTATTCCTGTTGCCATTCCCGTTGCTGTTCCCGTTGTTGTTGTTGTAATTCCTGTCCTTGTTGCCATTCCCATTGCTGTTGTTGCCATTCCCGGTGTTGTTATTCCCATTGTTGTTATTCCTGTTGCCATTCCCGTCGTTGTTGCCATTCCTGTTGTTATTCTGGCTGTTTTGCTGTTGTTCTTCCCGTTGTTGTTGCCATTCCCATTGTTGTTGT